AGCGATCTTCGCAGAGAATCATCAGCTCTCAGGTAAGGCACACAGTTAGCTTGGGTCTTTCTTTGTAAGTTGGTCGCATCTTTTACGTTACCTTTATTATCAAATAACCGTTTCAGCTGGGTGAGAACATGGTGAGAACGCTGGAATCAAGAGTTCAGTACCTGTCGTATCTCTGTCTTCAGCTTGAAAAAATAGGGTAGCCTTTGTACCATTTCGATGATCTAGAAGGTCACCTTAGGGGGTAGGAGTTGTATTGAACTGAAGATGCTTTGATAATCAGCATTACACACGAGCTTTGCGCGCTAGCGTGGCTGTCAGCAAACTAACCCTCTCTTCTTTGTTATGATTACTCAGGTGATAGGTCAGCTCAAAGTGTTGATGCGCTCCAACCTGGAGGCGAGCAAGTTTGACAAAGAAAAGTGGTCCACTGAGCTGTCGCCGATCTTGAACTTGTGGAAGAAACTCAACCAGGTATCCTTGGGTAACTCCGCTCCTTTCCTATCCCTTGTACAATATGATTTTTCATGTGAGTTTATTGATCTCAGTTCGTGTGAGAGGGAACATTGTCAGTGCCCTGCCTGAAAGCCCTGTCCTCGTATTTACTCTATTTGCTGATCGCCATTTTGTGGTTGCAGGGCTCCCAACTGATTCAAATGAAAATCTCGGCACCAACGGAGACTGGTGAGGAATCTCCAGTGACGTCATTCGTGCAGCTTGAGCGTTACAATGCAATCCGATTGGTACAAATCGTGCACGCGTCTCTCTCCTCCCTCAGTAAGGTCATCCGAGGAACGGCATTGCTGGATGCTGATGTTCAGGCTTTAGCGGGGGCTTTACTCAAACAAGAGGTGAATTTACTTCAAATCTTTAAGGAAGACACATCCAGCAACAGTAACAACAGCAAATATATATTTCAAGAACGAGAGAACATCGGAAAACCTCAAATCGCAAAAGTTAAAAATACGGCGTGTATACCAGAATAGAAAATGAATCTAAGAATTTAGGACAAAAATAAAACTGAAGTTTTGCTCCCCTAGAAAGTCTTGATAACTACTACTAAAAGACAGTCGCTCCCTTTAAGTCAATCTTTGGTGATATGTTATCAGAATAAGAGTTTAGACTCCGTTATTATGACTGAATAGTCCACTTGAAATCGTTTGGACTACAGCCTCCCACTTGATCCAGTTCAAGAAAGTTTATAACTTGGACGGGAAGTGTGGAAGAAAGCCTTAACCTTTCGTAGGTCGTGATCAAACACATTGAGTGTTTTATATGCGTACATAAAATTTTCAGGTTATTCATGGAAATCAGTGCTTTTTAACATAGGTCTTAATTGACTAATCTCTGCTGTTTGCATGTGTAGGTCCCTCTCTCTTGGAGCAATCGTTTCGAGGGCCCCGAGGACCCTATTCAGTGGTTGAGGTCTCTAGTTGCAAAGTCCCTAGCACTAGGCTCCTGGGTGGAGAAGTGCAGCTCAGATTCCTTGTTAAGGGACGTGTTGGACCTCTCAGACCTTTTCCATCCAGATACGTTCCTCAATGCCCTACGTCAGCAAACAGCACGGTAAGAGAATATATGTCGCTGCTTTTATCACTCTGTGTCCAATTTTAATAACATTTGTATCATTCAAGTCAAAAGCGCCAGTTTTTAGAGGCAAAATTTCGCTTAGAGTGTTTGGCGATGGCCGCTCAAGGAGCCCTGGCACTGTTCTTTCCGAAATCGTTGAGTTGTACTCCTGGATAAAACCCGTGTCTGTATGGATTTCTTTCCATCAATAAGCGTGAGCAGGCGGCTACCGTAAACCCACAAAAAACCAATAAACCCTCCAAAGGCGGGCACCTCATAAGAGGTGCAATTAGTATTGCTTGAGTTGGTCACCTATGGGAGGTATTTAGAGGGAGTTTACCATATTTTCCGGTGGAAGAGCAGTCCACTTACGAGAATCTCTTTGAAGAAAGCTTTGACTGTTTTAACTTTGAGAAAATCGCCTTGCAGCTCTTACTTTCCGTAGGAATTTTGCATCCAAGTAAGAAGCTAGAAAGAAGTACTGAAGCCCAAGCTCTCCTCAAGGGGATGTAAACGATTAGCATTATTGCTATTTTCAAATCCTAACTTCCATATTTAATTTTTTTTAGAGCGATGAAAACGTCCATCGACAGTTTGAAACTTGCTGTGTCTTGGAAGGGATCGCAGATACCTGGAGCCAAGTTTACAGTCAAGGTTTGTACCTGCCAGTAACTGTTTATGGAGGAAGGGGCTATTTTTCTCAATAGATACAACATTTTCACTTGATGTAATATGTTTGGAGCTCTGCGCCCTGTACAAATTTTTCTTTTTTTTTTTTAGAACCTTATTGGGCTACATAACTGCGTAAATGGCTTGTAGTGCAGCCTGAAAACCTTTTAACATTTAGGTCTGTTCTCCACTTAAAAATGTTTGAATACCCACGTTGTTTTCTCTCTAATTAGCTCGGTGGTCTTCAGTTGGAAGGTTGTAGCTTTGACGGTAATACACTGACAGAAAATCAGCGAGACTCGCCCAGTGTTTCAGCGATCCCCACTGCTGAGGTGGCCTGGGTGCCAAAGGTACGTCGTTTATATATAGCGGTGATCGCTAACAGATTGGTTCTCTCTCCCTATAATATCCGCTTCACTCTTCTCGAATGTACACAGGCAACCATAAAATACACGTTAGAAAATGGAAGGCTAGAGTTGGACTTTCGCTCGTGTTATCTCAGGTTTAAAGTTGGCTATATGTTATCCCGCTTGAGCAACGCACCACTCTTTGTCTGCGTTTGCTCAGGAAGAGCTTATCGTTAATGTACACAGTATAGGAAACATGCTAATCGCTCCCGGATAAGTAGCTGTGAAAGCAAATTTAGTATTCCAATCTGACAATCTGAAGTACTAAATAGTCACTATTACTACTGTGTAATTTATTTGTTATTTTTTGACAATAAGGATACCGCTGACCCTTATCCAGAGAACGAATGCATTTCGATCCCAATCTACTACAGTGCTGACCGAGACAAGACAGTCACGTGTTTCAACATGCCGTGTGGCGGTAACCAGAGCAGGTGGACCCAGTGTGGCGCGGCTCTTTTTTTAAAGAGTCAGTAAAATGATCTGGACACTAGAGTTGTACTTATGTTTGGAGTACAAGTGGTATTGTGTTAAGCATGAATGTTTGGCTTCTACTGAATAAAAGAGTTGCTTCCTTCCTTTGTGCTTTTTTTTTTATGTCGCTCCCCACTGGGGTGCAAGATAAAAAGTTTTCTTATGCTAAATTGAAATTTACTGGCCTGAAAGTGTTCACAAGCGGAATCGTGTTGTTTAGCAATCATTTCCGTCGATCTTTACTGAGACTAAACTATCGAATATATCTGATGTCTGCCAGATCTTTCATATGGCGTTTATCAATCACCATTAAACTTATAAGTCAGTCCAAGCTTTTGGTGAGTTGTAAACGCATGTTGTAGACGCAAGAGACCCTTCTCCTTGACCTTGTAACACGATCGTGGATGCTGTTATCTCCTAGTTGTTCTATTTTTAGAAAGTTACGTATCCCCTTATACTTCCTTATATCATTGGGACGGCTTTGTCGACCAAATGCGTACATGGAGATGCCGCCTCCAACAATAGTTCAATCAATGGCTTAATCTTCGTGCTGCTGTTGTAAACTTTACCCAATCTGCATTAATTGTTTGAAATTATTTGATTCAGAGTGACCAGAATTTATCAAAATTTAATTAAGCAGTAAACCGCACCTCCTATCAGTTGACTGGCGTAACAACCCACTTCGGATGGTGGAATAACATTTGGAATGTTTGTAAAAGGCCGGGAGCTATGGGCTTACAAGTGCAATAAACGACAGGTTTTTCACCAATCAAGACTCTCCTAGTGTTTTAGTTACTTCACAAGTAACAACAGTCTGAAATTTGGAAAGTACGGCAAAGATAGCTACAAATAACTGATGCAGTCTTAAGAACCTGGGCTGGGTTTTTCAAAACATGGTTTAACTAACCCGGGGCTAGTGTGAAGTTTTAATTTAGTTTTATAGCTCTGCAAAGCGATTTCTCGTTTTCCTTTTCTCCCCGTTAGTTTCGAGTCATACTGAGATAAAAAAAAAAAAAAACCAACAAAACCGTAGCTCTTGTACACGCTCTTCTACATGAGAATTTAAAGCCAAGGTTAACTTTAAACCTAGATTAACGTGAACCCCCTTTCTAACAACCTGGCCCTGTAACTTAAATATCTCACATCACTTGGATTAGATATATTTGTTCATCAATTGGATAGAAAGGATAGAAATGTCAGTGTTAGAGCTGCTCTCGGGGCAGTACGTTCGTAAAAGGTTTTTAACCCAAAAGGATGATTTTATAAATTTCATGGAATCTCACTGTGAGAAGTTTTAAAGGTCAGCGATAAAAGAAATTTTCGGTAGTAGAGGTTGATAAGCTATACGTTTTCTTCCTATTGTTGGAGTTAGCTCGTCTATTGTTGGAGTTAGCTCGTCTCTCGTTTCATCGCAAAGTTTCGTTTGTTCCCTCTCACGTCCCATACTTATCCGGCCCCCAGGTGATAAATTAATTTTGCACCTTCTCTATTCTTTTCCCTAACTTTTTCTGGACTTGTTTCAAGAAATATGTATGAACTCCACATGAGCATGACAATCAAAATCGTGAGAGGACTCGGCGGGATTCGCAAGGATCGTGCCGTGTTTCTCGCTATGGACTCGGGATTTGATCTGAGATCTAACCCCGAGGATAATGAAATACCCCTTCCTACGTTTTTCAGGGAAAGGATTCATAAATCACAACATAGAAAAGCGTTGAATACTTAGCTTCTTGTGTTTTTCAGTCTTTTAGATCATTTTTAGTATCGTAAAGGAGGTGGTCTGGAATAATTTCTGGATCTTGGTCCCAGATTCCAAAGTTTTCATCCCCCCATATTGGTCAGCGGACTGTTATTTCATATCCAGTCTCTCACCTGCCTCTGACCAAATCATGATTTCTCCGTTGCGTCGTCAGGAAATTCTCTCATGTTTATAGCCTTCATCCTCGCTTTTTTGATCGGGGTCTTTTCCGTTTTGCTTTTGGAAGCCTTTTTGCTTTACAAATGGTGGAGTTCTGCAGGTGTGGATGCGCAAAAACTTTACCCACAGCGCACGAAAGTCACCAATCCAGAGGTATTTCGCTCTTTCAGTTGCTTAAACAAAATCACCGGAAACATTGATTATAATTTAAGATCGCAATACAATGTACCAATTTTTGATCGCTGTATACAAGCCTATGATCTGAGAATTATTTATACCTGGTTTTATCTTTCTGATATTAAATTAGAAAATTTTGAGCGTTAATTATATTTCCGTTTCAATCAGAAAAAGAAAAATCATGCACGTTTTAATTTTCATCCTGAGGTGTAGTGCGACCTGGATCCAGCTGTAAGGTGCCATAATGGAAAGGGAAGGAGATTTTCAGAATTTTACTTAAATTTAAATACAATTCCTTTGGGTGTGATGATGTGTGAGTTAAAAGAATTGGAAAAAAATCCTTTCGTTTGTAATCACTAGAGCAACAAATCTTATAAAATGAAATTTGCAAGAATAACATAAATCTTTGTGAAGAAGTTGTGTGACATTAGAGAACACCTCTACGTACCAGAAATTGAGTCAGCTAAATCACCTAAATGAAAACACATACTAGGCACTTGTTGATGTAAATATTCTCCACATTTTTTTTTTAGCCTCTAGCAGATTACTGCAAGAAGGATCAAGCCACTGAACCTGAGTCATGTGTTTGTATAAACCTTCTATTTTCCTTTCTGTGGAGAGAATGGAGAGATTCTCCACAGATGAAAACATACTTCTTAAAGAAGATGAACTCAGAGTTCACTGAACTTATTCAAGGAAAAGCAGCTAGCAAACTGATTGAGCAAATAACGATTGAAGAACTTTCTCTTGGGACATCACTGCCTGTTATTACAGGTTTGTGTATTTTCTTTACCTTAACACTTTACTCCCTAACTTAAGTATACATGTTCTCCAGACTGTTCTCCATACATTTCCTAAAGTGCTGACTTGGAGAATTTGTCTAACAATCAAGAGCCTCTTTAGTTGGTGATCATTTCCTTTATTCTCAATGAATTTCATGTGTGATTTGGGGGGGTGATACTCTAAGGAGAATTTTGTATTGTATCAACTAATCATCCCCTAATTGATAAATTTCTTGGTTCTCATCACTTGTCTTCATGATTTTGTATTGATATTATAAGGAAAAATTCTGTCTTGGTCACTCGTGGGAGTTAACAGGTTAAGCTTTTTGCATATCTCCTTCAACGGACGAGGTTTGTCCTCTTTTAATTGCAAATGCAAAGGCACCATGCTGAAAGAGGTCATTTTTATCCAGGGCACCCAAGCTCTCTATAAAGGTATACTTTCCTCCTCTGAAGTTATCCACCGCAATTTCTTTACCAAATTAAATTTATTTCTTCACAATCTCTTCACACTTCTCTTTTCCAAGGCATACATGTAAGATAAGATTTTTGCAACACAATCATCTAGTTAATTATCCCTTCAGTACAACCCAGTAAGGGGCTTTTTGAGCATTCTTTCCCTTGTGATGTTAAGGAGGCTCATCTCTCATAGTTACTAGATGATTTAGTTTTATCAACTGAGTTGATAATGTAAATTGGCCAAAGTAAAGAGTTTTAAGGCTGAGGTTTTAACCTTTTGTCAGTCTCATAGTCACTGCTTGACCCCAGTTACTCTGGCCTTTCAATTTTGATGCGCTGTTAAACAGATGGGTAATGACAATTGAAGTCTGTAAACCAAAATTGGAAAGGCAACCATGGACAAATTGTCTTACTCAATCTACACAGGGCTACAGAAACACTGCAGGATGTAATAAAATTTAAATTCCTCATATTTATTAGTTTTTATCAACAGCACTACTGTCCTAATTTATTTTTATGTGTTTTTAAGGATTATTTTAACACTTTGACACCTATAAGTGAGCAAGACCAGAATAAAGAATTTGGGGATTATTATTTGATCCATTACCAAGTTCTCTGAAATACCCTCATAAGAATTGTATAACAGATTGTAAAGAGAATTACTAATGACATCTTGGGAGCGAGAGGGTTAATTTTGTCCCTTATGCACTTAGTATTACATATCTATGATTCTGTTTCCCGTGCCATTCACGCCAAAATGGATAAAAAAAACAGCAGTAAAAAAAATTCTAGTGATTTACCACTCTAGTTTGGTCTGTATGGGGAAAAAACTATGGCCTAAGTCTTGATTATGTACTCAAGGCCTTATATACAGTTTTTTCTTCCCATACAAATCTCCTGCCTAGAAAATAAAATGTATTATTTTATTTTGTATAAACAGGTGCCACCATCATGAAGATAGGAACAAAAGACCCAAAGGAAGTTGCAAAGGAGTTAGACATTGCCTTTGACCTTGAATATACAGGAGGATGCCACATGGCTATACAGGTTGATCTTGTTTTCAACAAGTCTGTGTATGTGGCAGTCAAGTTGGTTTCTCTGAAAGGCCGAGCCAGATTACAGCTAAGCAGACATCCCCTTTCACACTGGTCTTTTGCCTTCTACGAGGTACTGGATGATAAAAATATTGAAGACCATTATCAGAGATATGATCATTAATTATTTTGCAGATAGTTGTAACTTTATGTTAGTTTATTAATAAATTCTGAAGGAAGGGTCTAAGGACAGAATTTCAAGCCCCTCAAGCAAAACTAGACAAAGTGGATCAAAATCTTTCTTTTACAACATTGGAACATGACCTTTTGAATCCTCTGAAACAGAACAACCTTTTGAAAGGTCAGTCACATGAGAGTGAAGAACACATTTTTGAAGAAATTTAATGCATTTATAACTGTAGGGTTGAAATGCAATTGTAAAGTAAAGTACCACTTTTGACAGACTGTTGATAAGGCTGAAATTTGCTCACATTCATCAGTCAACCAAAGCCTACACATACATGGGGTCAAATTCTTTGCATTTTGTTTTTTGGAGTTTTTGGGTTTTTGCTTGGTCTTTGTGTGTGTGTGTGTGTTATTTTTTTTTTGTTTTTGTTTTTTTTTCTTGGCGAGATGATGTTTTGGATTTTGCACTAAACTCTTAAAACAAAGAAGTATACGATCCTTTTATAGAGAAAATTAGCTTTTTTAATTTCAGAGAATGATCAATGGTATTCCAGTAGCTTTGTGTATTTATTTATTTTTTTATTTTTGTTTTTTTTTTTCTATTCAGGAACCCGAAGTTGAACTTGAAGCTGAGTCCCAGTTTGAAGGCAAGAACTTCCCTCAACTAACATCCCTGATAATAAGCCATCTTCGCAAGTCTATACAAAAGAAACACACCCTCCCAAGCTACAAGATCCGATATAGCCCCTTTTTCCCACAGTTGATTCCTCAGGATGAAACCCAGGAGGTGTATGTTCATAACAGCAGTGTCACTGTGGGTAGTCTAGAGGTCACTGTTGTGGGGTGTACCCGTCTACCTGAATTAGAGAACGAGGCCTCTCAGTACTGCAGTTTGTCTGTGGACCAGCTTCCCTGGAGTCAACTTGTTGAGAACAGGAGAGCAATGTGGCCAACATTTGAGGTGGGGTCGACATGTGTCTGTTTTCACTTTCAGTGAGTGTCTATCCTTTAAATTTTGGGTTGGAATTCAAAGCAATTTACTCCAGGTGTAGTGTGGACCAATTTGGTTAACTCCTCAGTCAAGCCTAGAAACTCAACCTAAATTGTGGGTTGGAATTCAGGTGGGTGAAGGCGAGGTGGGGTCGACATGTGTCTGTTTTCACTTTCAATGAGCGTCTATCCTTTAAATTGTGGGTTGGAATTCAAAGTAATTTACTCCAGGTGTAGTGTGGACCACTTTGGCTGACTCCTCAATCAAGCCCAGAAACTCAGCCTCTCAGCGTTCTGTAAATAATTTTGAAACGAAGCAACTGTCGTAAACTCATGAACATGCGAAACCTTAAATTTCACAGTTTTTACCAAAAAAAAATAGTGAAACGAGACTAAATCCGATTGCAATCGAGTAAGCTTTAGAATTTACCCAACTTTTTCCGATTTGAGTCCAATTTATAGAAAACTGTCCTATGCAATGCCCTGACAATGTCTTTCTTTTAGTTTGATTCCAATATTTTGACTTGAAGAGGCTGATTTAGTGCAAATATGAAGCTTAGATCTCATAACAGGCAAAAAAAAACACGAAATATCGACTACAAGTCCGTTTAATACTGACGTTTTTTACCCGCAGATTGAGATAAGTCGTGAGAACAATGAAGTATCCTTCGGTCTGACCTTGTGTAACGAGATCAGTGAAGATGAATTGGGAAAAACCATCGTGATAGAGACAGTTGTAATAGACTCCCCTGCATACAGTGCAGGAGTTATGGCTAAAGATGTACTGGTGGCTATTGATGGAAAAAAGATAGAGTCGCTCAAGCAAGCTGCTAAGCTGATGAAAAGTAAAAGCAGGTATCTTTAATACGCTCTTCCACGGCAATTATCAACGTCTAAGTAAACTGAAGATGATTTTTCGAGGATTTGAAAATCTTTTCTGGGTAGGCTCCGTGGAATCCAATAGAGATTTGTTGTTCCATTGATTTCGTCTTTTGAAAGTGAACTTCAAATTACATCTGGTGTATTTTTGGCAAATTTAAACTTCCGTAATTTCATGAAAATTTTCTGACGTCTTGGCACCTTCCAGCTCTCTCTTAAACCGTTTCTTAAGTTCACTTCAGACCACTTACCATTTAACCACAGTGGCATTATTACTGTCACTGATAGTACATGTAACTCAAAGCCTGACTGTCGTTGCTTGTCTTACAAACTATGGCTTAACGTTAATCCTGAACTGTCTGTTTCTGTGCACCAAACAGGAGATATTCGTCTGACAATGGACTCCTCTAAAATCTGCCGTTTACTTCCACTCAAAACTTTTGTCGCTGAGCGCATTAGTGGGCTTGCCCAGGAACCCCAGCCACGGCTCCATCACAGCCTACCAAGGCTCTTAAAACTTTCACACCCACATGGTTGTTGCTCATATTTTATAATCAATTTTTTTATTTTTCTTTTTGCGTTCTAGATTCACTGGTACGGTTCAAAGACCACCTACAAGAATTTCGCAACGAGTCGATCGCGAAAAGCCAGAGAACGAACAAGATGAGAAAACTGTCGTGAACTTTAAGAATGTCGCACTTCACAATGACAGCGACTCCGAGGATGATTTTGTCAACATCGTGGTACCACTGTTTGAAGTTGAAGACGACGAGCATTTTTCTGAGCATTCCTTTACTGGGTTTGTGTAGATGAATCGTTATAGCGATTTGTCGTACCAAAATATTCTAAACTATAAATGAATAAGGGCGGTAAGTTTCTAATGAAACTTTGGTGCTGCGTCGGTGGTGGTATAACATGACAATTTGATTTATCAACAGAGTTATTAATGTAATAGTGTAGTTTGATCGTCCGGGTGAGTGTAGTCCTGAGAAGGACTGTTGTCGGTAGTGGTGACTGACGTTTCGACAACCTGAGCGGAAGTCATCATCAGAGTCAAGTGAAAGGTTGTTGTCAGTCGAATGTACTTAGTCCGGTTTGTGTACACTGATTGGTCAGTTTTGCCGTGATGTTATTGGCTGTAATACTCAAGTGGCGTAGGTCAGTCGTGATTGGTCAGTTTGGATCCGTTAGTGAAGTTGGGTCGTTCTGTTCGGTTCGTTTGTAATGTTAATGTCGTGGATGAGTCGTTTGTATGGTGCCGGTAGTGGTTGACACCTGTTAAGGGGAGTCTGTTCCAAGTTAGTAAACCAGTTTTTTAGGGTCAGTCGTTGAAAGTAGGTGTTGCTGTAGGTTAGGCATTGCGCAGAGTCCCAGTCAATAGTGTGGTTCGTAAGTCGGTGATGTTCAGCAATGTGATTGTTGACATCGCCTTTCCTCGTCGCTCGTTTGTGTTCAGTCAGTCTAGTTGCGAGGTTTCTGCCAGTCTCACCGATGTAGGAGGCGGAGCAATCAGCATGCAAACAACCTTTTATTTGACTCTGATGATGACTTCCGCTCAGGTTGTCGAAACTTCAGTCACCACTACCGACAACAGTCCTTCTCAGGACTACACTCACCCGGACGATCAAACTACACTATTACATGTTATCCCCGGGTTCAAACCATTTACTGTATGAGTTATTAGTGTAAGGCTGACGTTTCGAGCGTTAGCCCTTTATCGCTAGCTCTGACGAAGGGCTAACGCTCGAAACGTCAGTTTTAAAAATCCTCTACGGTTGCCAATTTACATTTATTTATGAAGTCAATTGATGAAACCAAATTTCTAAACTTTGTTTACTTTATAATTAGTCGCATTCCTTTCGGTTTAAGACGCTTTTTGATTGGTCTAGAGAATGCGTCGCATGTATCCTGTCCGCCAAAATTTCAAGCTCAAATTTTCGCTTGTTTTGTCTTAGAGATCAGACATCAAGGGGGCAACCGACAAGGGAGACAAAACAGGGATCACCAGCATCCACACAGCGGGCGAACACAGGCCAGATAACTCCTGAAGTGAACGATGAAAAGGCGTCTGTCGAAAAGACTCCTTTACCAAATGGCACCGACACTGCTTCGCCAAAACGTCCAAGGAAGGTGTCTGTTTCATCCCTGAAGGTGATGGACGGACCAGATACCACCAAAACCACGCTGGTGTCAGCAAGCTCGGTTAGTAGTGCTGTCACTCATTGGCGCTGATTATCGAAGGATATTGACGAAACACAGAGATGTCGATGACTTTTTCGATGATGCTATGCTAAAACCAATATGTTTGGTTGGCTGGCAGTCCCAACACTCAAGCAATATTGAACCTTTTATTTGTTTCCACAGACTATTAAAACACGAGGGGGACTAGAAACTAGAAAATATTATACCAACCCAGCACGTACATATTCACGCCCACAATTTACAATATGGACTTTGGAAGTAGAAATTTGGAAACTCTCCCGCGTAACAAAGGGAACAAAACGGGGGGGGGGGGGAGAATTATGGAAAGGACCTCGGCGTAATAATTGGTATCCCTTCGCGGTCATTAAGACACATATTGACCTTCGTTTATAGGATCCAGTCTGGAATGAAACCTTCAAGTTTGATGTCCAAACCCCTAACCTTCGATACCTTAACGTGTGCATATGGAGCAAATCTCAAGAGAAAAACGAGAAAGATATTATACTTGGCCATGTGAGTAGAGATGATTTTGCACTCATAAGTTTTCTCTCGCCACTAGAATTGTCTGGAAGTAACTTTTAACCATTTGCTCAGCTGTAAGTGACAAAAATTATAGTTACCATAAAGGTCTATAACTTGAATTTCCTCAGTTAGTCGTCTTATCGATTCATCTTTAGGGTTTGCACTAGTGGAAAAACTGAAAAATCATAAAAAAAATTTTGCGGAAACGTCACTTTGCAGGCCTGTGATTTTACGGAATTTCAATGTGGCTTATGGAAAGCGAGGCGATCGAAAATTGCTGAAAAAGATTTTTTTCCAGAACGACATTACTGGAGTGAGAACGCGCTTAAGAACCCTTTAGCTTATGATTTAGCGCACTTTCTTCCAGGTTGACGCCCTTAAGGAATCGCTGTTTTGTGCTTTTAGGCGAAACACTGATCGCTTATAAACTGCCGTTAATATTGTTGCAGGTAACCATTCCCTTGATGGACATTGCACTACGATGCTTGTCATTCTCGTCAAAGAGACACGAAGAGTGTTTCGTCTTGGTTTCCCCACACTCCGACAGGATTATATCAAAGTAAATAATAAATTTGAATGTGACATTCATGATTTCCTGTTTGGTACGGAGAAATTTTGGATTTTGAAAGAATGAGGAGCTGACTTCAAGAACCTCTTTTACTCCTGAAAGAAACTAATATTTTATATTACCGATTGCTAAAATATTTCCTTTGAAAGGAGAATTTTGAGTTTTAGCCCAACGAGACAATAACTTCTCATACGATGATTTCTTCACGCGAGGGGAAGGTCACGTGTAGCTTGCAGCCCGCGCTGCACAACCGAAGTAATTACAATGGCCAATCAGAATGGAGAAAAATCCCAGAATCCAGTGCAAGCTGAAGTTAAAAATATGCAAACTACCTGAAGAGAAAAAACGTGTGGGTCCAAGTTGCAATCGGTTGAGGTTTTGTAATCTGATTGTTTCAGAGGTGGTGCGTTTTTCTCTTGACCAGTGCCAAACAAATAAATGTAAATGCCAAACAGTTACTTTTGTGTCACACTGCGATTAATTTAATATTTCTTTATCAACATCTGTCTCAATGAAAACTTATTGGAACTGATTCTTTCTCATTTGCGCCAGTCAGCCATATCTTCGCAATCATCCCGGTCTGAAAGAGAGTCTGTGCTGTGGAGACATCACGTTGATTTTCCATCACAACCCATCTCTTACGGATTGTGATGAGTCAATCCTTGAAAAAGTGGAATCACTGAACGAGTCTGCACCAGAGGTATGACCAAGTTGTTTTCTTTTCGATTAGCAATTTCACTGATGAGCAGTGGCCTTGAAGCTACTAATGACAACTTAATGAATAGAAATATTTAGCATGTGTACCGAAACAACATTTAAACATAAATGCATTCGCTAAATTTGAGTGTTATTAGCTTAAACGTTAAGACATGGTATGGTGGGCAGACGTTCCACAATCCACTCTGAGCTCTCTCGATGGAAACATTTTCGAAGGTCCACCTTCAAATTCCCCCTTTCCATGTGTCTACCTCAAATTTCGCGATCTCATCATGGATGTCCTTTCTTGTAGTAGGGTACACCTTTAAACTTAATCGAACCCAATCGATAGTTGACATTTGCGTTCAGTTCTCCACTCGTTTAAAATATGTATGGTCCTTCTGGCTTGTCCTTTTTCACTCCGTAGCCAGCTATTTTATTGTAGCCTCTTGTTCATACCTTTCCCTTTGTAGGATGAAAGTCAAGAAAAAGACACTCTAGAAAGGTAAATAGAAAATTCTAAATTGTTATAGAGTCAATGTTTTTAGGGATCTCAAGGAGAAATTTTTTTGAGACGCAGAAGGTTGCCAGAAGTTTGGGGATCTTTGCGCCTGGCACAGATCTTTTACCGTGCCCTTTAGTTTGGAATGCTAAAACGAGGGCTTTCCACTCGATTGTTTGCTTTCAAAGCGTATGAGAAATACCTACATTCTCCTCCTAGTTGTTCACGTCGCATCCCTTGCGTAGAAATCAGCTTGAGATGAATGCAGATTCTTTTGTAGAAATGTGTCATGATTGCGATCAGATTTTTGTTCTCTTTCGTCCCTGTTTCTGTTTTTTTGTTTGTGACTCTACTGTGAAGTATTTTAAGTAATCTTCTTGAGATTTGTTTGTTGGTTAACATGAATGGCCACTACTTACAGTGATGAGTGCCTTTTCTTTGCTTTTTCTTTCTGTAACATTTGTTTAATGTATTGTCTGTTCTGCGTTGCAGTTTGGAGCCTCCCAAACATCAGTTTATCTTAACCCAGTTTCATTTTCCCACAAGATGTAGTTACTGCAACAAAAAGGTAATGACCGGTAGATAACAAGAAATCGTCTGAGCGTTTTCTCGTAAATTTTTCCGTTTATGGGATTTATCTTCTGTCAACTTTGTAATCGAAACGTTGTTCGAAAATTTTTAATCCTCGAGCTGATAGAGTTTTTCTTCCTCACCATCTGTGTGGAGGATAATGTTGCCATAATTTTGTCCTGTTGAGTGAGTGAGTGTGACAATGGAACGACCTCTTCACCCACAACGGAGTCTGTCGAGTTTTATCCGACATTTCTCGCACGTGGGTTTTGTTTGCTTCAGAACATCTTCCTTCGTTCAACGCTTGATGACGATTTCTTCGAATCGCTTCGAATGTTACTCGGAATTAGCTCGTGATCACACTGTTTCCCGATCCTACTTATTGTTTGAGTACTACAGAAACAAATCTGCTACAAAATTACCTCCAGCACCATTATACAACCTCTAGTTCTTTTCAATGGTATAAAAATTGTGCTATATCAGTAGCCACATGCAGTCTTAAACTGCCTGTTTTTGTTCGTAAAGCTGACCATTTTTGGAAGTAACAATCATGTTAACTGATATGCGATTTTGTGGTCATTTGGTTGTTTATTTTTATTTCATATTTTTTACCAAAACAATGTTTTTTTGTACAGGTATGGACGAAAGTTGCGTTCCAGTGTAGAACATGTGCCATGATCTGCCACAAGAAATGTCTGCGTAATTGTATGGATTATACGCACTGTGCACAGTGAGTAATAGTAGTGACAGGATCTGTCGGTGTCGCTTTTGAATCTCGCATTCTAATATGAATTTGAGCGCAAGATTTTGGAAGGTGTCGGGGCAGGTGACCCTTTATCTTAATGTGAATTTGATGATTGGTAATCGTTTGTTTTATTCTTGAATAAATAAGACGTATTTAATGTCGAATTTCAGGCAGAGCATTCTTCCAATGAGTGTCGTAACACTGAAAACGAGGTTACAAACCGCCAATTACAACGAATGGAACATTTTATGTCATCCGAATTCGGAGTTTGGCCTCAAGCGCGGGATAATGTCTTTATTCAGTTGTTAGTCTCAATATTGATTATTCATTTTCGCAGGAAGTTTTCTCGACAAGTCGTACAATAATCCACACCTAACCTTGTCCCCTTTTCATACGGAAAAAGAAACCGGCAGGAAATACAGCTATGCACAATTTTATGTTTTGGGTTTATTTTTATACGTTGGTGGTTAATTTCTTGACAAGCACAAAACAAATCATGTTCGGGTGGTTTTCTAGACAGCAATCAAAGTCAGCGCAGGACAAAAAGGAAGAAAAAAATGAAGAGAATGAAGGCAGTGTGGTGGAGTCATCTGCACCTGATGTAGCAGAGGCTTCCAGTGAATCGGATGATGAATTCTTTCCTGCCACAAGTGAGCGATTATCGGACGAAGATGAAACAAAGTCAGAAGTGACAGATGATCCCGTAAGTGAAAGTGTTAAGGTAGGCAGCTCCGAATCTAGAGAAACCTTAGAAATATTCGACTCCTTGGTAGGGGGATTTAGAAATAGAGCCCAAGATGAGTAAAGTTAAAGCGAATCCCTGTCCTTGTTGATTTTGAATTAAATTCGTTCAACAGCATTCTGAAGAGACTGAAACTGCAGCTGAATCAGACGAGAATGTCTCCGATAAGAAAAATACGAAAGAGGAAGCGACTGCTATCATGAGAGCTTCAGAGCGAGTGAGAGAGGTCAGTTTCATTAGTGATGATTCTCACAAGCAACATATCAAGTAGACTGAATTTATTTTACAGATGATAAGGAACGAAGTGATCGTCGCTGGCAAACTGCATAAATCAAAACTATAACAAAATTCTCGAACGTGATCGGTCATCACCAGCCCGATTTGAGCACTAATAGGGCAGTGTCGCGTCATGCTTGTAATTGGACAGTGTAATAGGACAGTTAAAGGGACACAGTTAACACGTCATGCCTATGTAAGTGGACAGAACGCGTCATAAGCACGTGCTGTTGTCTCGCATTTTGCCGAGTTAACTGTTGATTTTTTTATGAAAACGTACAACCGATTTCTAGTTTCTTTCTCAAATTTTGTAATAGGACTAAGAACGCCTTAATCCTTGATTAATGGAGTGTAATTGCTACTCGGTCATATTACCATTATTAATCGTTTCTTTCTTATAAATACCTTGAGGAAGTCTTCTATCTAAAATTGTAATTCTTAATGTCCTTTCAATAGTCTTTATTCTAGTATTGATTGTAGATTTTTAATCAATTTCTAAGAATTTTAGGTGGTATCCTTGATTAATGGAGTGTAATTGCTAGATTTTAGTGGCATTTTAATTAAGCTGTTATTATTATTATTATTTTTTTTAGTATTAGTATTATTATTATTGTTATTATTATCATCATCATTATTACCTTGAGGACTGAACCACTAACTAAACTACGAAAAGATTTGTTGAGAACGCAGCAACTGAACGACTTTATTAAGGAATGCTTGACCAACTAGAAGCTATAACTAACGGTGAGACATTTGGATATCCATGATATGTATTTTGACTTAATTCCGTTTAAGGCTGGCAGAGAATTATTCTCCAATCTTCCTCTGGAGGCTCGCAAAAGCAAGTTAGAAGACATGGTGAGACATTTTTTGTGGATCCTCGTTAACTCCAAAATTCTTCCCACTTTCCGCAAAGTTTTCTTCGTTCTAGTAGCTGCCTTGTGCGTCAAAGGGCATAAAGAGGGTTATAGTGTAGTTGAAGTGATTCGCCTTTGATGTTAACTGTTTCTCTTTGATCTTAAGATGAACAAATTACAAGTAGAGATTGACGAAGAAAATGAAACGCTTACAGAATTGTACGACGAGAAGAATAAAGCTAAGGAAAAGAAACAGAAAGCTGCTATAGAGGCGCTATTGGTGAGTTCATTTGGGAAAACTTACTTCTGAAAACACTAGACGCTAGATGTAACATTGCCAACAACACGAATCGTGTTAGTGCCCGTCCTTATTGAGTCTGATAAATGTATAAGCGCAAAATGAATACAATTTCAAATCTTGTGGTTTGGGCAACTCAGTTTTTCCAATTTTTTTTGTTCCACACTCGTGACAAATGTTCGACATCCTTTTATAATGGTCATCTTACTTTTCAGGCCAAATCAGAAGAAAGAAGCCAAGCACTAGCCATGTTGATGTTACAGTACTGTGCTGGTTATCAGAGCTGTGTGGAGGCTGAAGAACTCGACTCTTATCGGTTGTGAAAGATCGCCACCATCCAAGTCAACCTTTAAACCCAGGCTCTAAGAGTGATCAGCATCTAATTTCTCTCTAAATTTTTACCACTGAATCAGACATTAAGGTTTCGGAATACAGGAAATGACCACCCACTCAAGAAGTTCTAATGTTGAATTCTACCCTTGATGATTAACCTTAAAAACTGCTAAAACATATGAGCTAGGTATTCAGTTTCCCTGTATGTAGACTAATTACTTTCAGAAGTGCTGTGCGTCTTTAGCTTTTTTAAGCTCATTACGCTCAAATATAGGGAACGAACTCACGTCGCCAAAGGAGCAGATAATGCTCTTTTAGCAACATGCTAAATTTGATTTCAAATATTCGTTTCCAGTGCCCTTTTCGAGTATGACTTGGCTTATGAAGAATCTCTTTTTGTATAATTATTATAGTATATCAAAGGAACATGAGCAAGTGACACTAATCTTGCTGTTGTATATGAAAAATTACTTAGTCTCTTGAATAGATTAATATATATGATTGATGTAATTTATATTTATAGAGATTTTTCGTTTTGTCTTTCTCGGATACCCAATTATTGATTTCTGTTATGCTTTACAGCGTAACCTCTGCCGTCGCGCAGCCTTCTTTCGCCAAAAATGTTTTCTGCTTAAACGTATCGTAGTTCACGTTGGTATTTTTTCCCTTTATGTCATGAGCATTTTAAATTGCCAGAAGTAATGGTGGATTTTCTGATGGAGGTCACATTGTGTTATTCAAAATAATATTTAAGGAGCTTCTAAGAAATTTTTGGCTAGCCTGTAGTTTTCACGTATTTGATGCTCAGTATTTCTTTGTAAAACTTTGATTTCCACTTTCTTTCTTTTTCGTTCGATGGTTGAAGAAGCTGAGAGAAAAGAGAAACTTTACTTGGGGTTGGACAATAAACAACAGGAAGAGGAGGGGGGGGGAAGGGAAGGGACATTCAAGGATGGATAATAGACTTATGATAAGCTTTATCGTAGTTAAGAATAGAATGAATAAATGTGAATTATTGACTGTTTCTTTGTTGGGCCCAAACTCCTTTTGTATATTTTCATTTCGGGGAAAGGTATGGTCGGATTTAAGTATTTTAGCTCGATATAGGTGGACAAAAGACTGGAAAACGAGGCTTCATATTTGAAATCGAGGCTTGCTGGAGGTATAATAAACGTCCAGGGAAACTGAATTATTATAATTTAATTTTTTTAATGAGAAAAAAGTTATTTGCTCTTGGACCGGCGGCCAATGCAGTTCATACAACACTGGACATGTGTTCACGTTTAGGTGTAAGCGTGGCGATTCTGGCTATCTCGTTTTGAACAAACTGAACTCTAGTCAAAGTTTGTTTCGGCAGTCCTTATAGGCAATGAATTACGTAAGTCCAATCTGGAGATGATAAAAGCATGTACGAGGATATTTAAGTAGTGTGCCGACTGCATGATGTGTTTCTTAGTGCAACTAATCGTTCAAAGATGATGAAACCTGCTTTACATCTTGCAGTGACATTCAGTATCTTGAAAAACCACAATATTTCTTACTGTTGATGGCTTGTTGATTGACGTCGATGAGGAGGGTGGGTGCATGGTGACGGGCATGTGGTCTCAGGAGTTCAAATTACGCGTGCACAAGAAAGTATTTTCTCTTTGCAGAGTAGAGCCATGACGGTTTTCCCAAAGACTTCTTGTTTCATTCTTTAATGTCCCATAGGAATAGGCTTTTTCAACCTTCAAATAGTCTTCGAGATGTAATATGGTTGTGTTTTGAATTCTTCGCGCCTTTTGCGATAGTGGAATTTTTGTTACTAGTTTTGTATTCTTAGAGGTGCAGTTCAACGCGGAGCGGACAATAACTGAGACAAGAATGGTCTGACCTCAAAGAAAATTGATGTTTAGTGTCAAGGAACACGTAATATGCGCGAGGGCTTGTTATGCAACACCTGCAAAGATCCGATAAGGTGCAATCATTGCTCCTTCGGGAGCAAGAGATCAATTCTCAAATTGAAAAAAACTTGAATTCCTCAACCCTTTCGGGCTTCAACTCTGAAAATGGCGTATGACAACATTCAAATGTATCTCCTTCTACTAGCTAACATATTTCCAAACCTTTTACTTAAAGCAAAATAGTAGATTTAATTTTGAACTAGATCGAAAACGAACCTCTTGGGAGTCAGCGGTAGGTCGCGTAGTCCTAAATAGCAGTATGCGTGGTTCTGTGCTGTGATTGGCTCACGCTTTACAAGCGGGATTCTTGAAAAGCGAGAACGAAAACGTTCGCATTCGCGAGTCATTTTCTCGATACTGGACAGCTAAACTAGGAAACTTAATCACAGAATTTGAAGCCTCTCAAATTTGGTGCTTTTAGCTACGTTTTACTGTATTATACTCTTTACTTGTCTTTGTTGTCCGTTCAGACGTTGAGGTTCGTTTTACAATTTGAAGTCAACCGCCTCCTTGTTGAAATGTCGCTATCCATCAGGGAACCGTTTCCTATCTCAAACAACTTCGAAAACAATCAAGAAAGCAACGTGTTGAAGAAAGCAAAGATGGAAGATGGTCAAGTAAGAGCAACTCAACAAGGGCAGAAACGTGCGGCTTTGAGCACAATAACGAACAACGCAATGAGAATTCAGCCGTTTCGTGCTGCTAAACAACAGGTCGGTGAAACGAGGTCAATTTCATGCAACTAGTTTCTAAGACCTTTAAACTTTATGTACGTTTCTAATGCTGGTATTTGAGCCTTTCTTCGTTCAATTTATTTTTTGGATTTATTTAGGCTGGTTTTGCTAGTTCGAAGAACGACGAAAATGCTTTCAGTCGTTTACAACAAAAGACCTCGGTCTTCGCTGTACCGAAGAGTGCACAACAGAGTTTTAGCATTCACGAAGACCCAGAGCCTGTTATTGCAAGTGCTCAGAGTAGAACACATCATTCTAGTTCTTCAGTTCCAGAAATAAATCCGGCCATAACGTCGCTTTCAAGTTCGGCTCTAACAAACGTGTTCGTTGCAAACAGAGCAAGAAATGAAGGTAAGCTTCAACGCATTGAATTTGCACTTTGCGACCCAAATTTTCCTCATTCTTTAGAGCACCGTTTTTTGGCATTTGAATTTTTTCATTTTACCATAAGGTTCTTTTGAGTCATCATTTGATTTCTAAGGTTATTTAAAGCCCTAATACATCTTTCAAAATCCACTCATTGACTTATTTTTTAATTTCATTTTACTGCAGTGGATTCCCCCATGGTTATAGATTCCAGCGATGACGAGGACTTTGAATGCACGAAAGAAACAACGCCAGAAATACACGACATCGACAATGGCAACGACATTTTTGGTGTTACAGAATATGCTTCAGAGATATACCAATATTTGAAGAAGTCTGAGGTATTTTGTGTTTTGTACACATGCGAGTTGTGAAGATCGTGTTTGGAAAATGCTGTGATTTGAAATTGAATGAAATGCATGTGATTAGAATGTTATTTTTAAAGTGGTTGGTTTGATGTTCTTAAAGCCTTGTCTATTCCATTGTTTTTATCTTTTGAAATATACATACCTCTGCCTTTTCAATTTTTAATAATCGTCATTTCACCGCAATCCTGCAATAATTTATGGTGTACTCTGGAATTATTCAATCAGCCGGGAGCTTCCCATAATTCCTCCTCCAGTGCCCTAGTCTTAGATTGTGCACTGCCTGAATAAATTTGACCCACTACTTGATTTTAAAACTTGACTTTAAAATGGAGAATTTTAAAATCGTCCTAAATGCCAAAATCTGAGTAATCACAGATGAAATAAGTAGAAGAAAGCTCTAGATACGAGACATTACTAATGTACAAGACAGTAGATTCAAAATGCTCATTTTGAATTATGCATTAAGACTGAACTCTCAGTGTGAATTGCCCTTGAGGTGTGTAGGGGAAAAAATGCGAGCTCCGCTTTTAGGCTTGGCTAAATCTATATATTATAACTCTTGTTTGGGTTTTGATGATCTTTTTAAAAGAAACCTGTATCATTTAATTTGCAAACACATGGATCTGATGGGTGGAATGTCTATTTTTCCAGCTCAAGAACATGCCCAAACCAAACTACATGAAGAAACAAACTGACATCAACCACTCTATGCGTTCCATCCTTGTTGACTGGCTGGTTGAAGTGGCTGAAGAGTACAAACTTTCTCTCCAAACTCTTTATCTAACCATAAACTATATTGACCGATTCCTATCAGTTATGTCTGTTCTACGGGGTAAGCTACAACTTGTGGGGACTGCTTGTATGTTGATAGCAGCCAAGTTTGAGGAAATTTATCCTCCAGATATTTCAGATTTTGTATACATTACAGATGACACCTACAATGCCAAACAGGTATGTGCAAGTAACTGTTTGTGATTTTCCTCTTCTGTCAGTGAAGTACAGGATATGCTTATGACAAACTATTTAGTCTTCTATGGGCAATCCATTAGTCACTGATCTGAAAATGGTAGAGAGGGTTTTAGTGGGTGTCATGCAAGAAAGAGTGCACATGCAAATTTAAATATTGATCTTTATAATAGCTGACTGCTTTTTTCATTTTGTATGGTGGACATACACCTGTAACTGTTTCTTGTTTTCTGGTGGTTTCTTTTTTCATAAAGAAAACTACAGTTTTTCTTGCATGAAAGAAAAATATTCTTCTGAGGGCATGAAATACTGTAAAAAATTAACATGATCCATTTGGCAGACAAATACCTGTCTTTTTAACAAAGCTGTATTTAGAGGAAACTCATTTTTTAAGACATTGCTTAAGTTCACTTTGTCTTCATTTGCTTGCTTTAAAAAATTCAACTTTTTTTTTTTGGCAGGTTCTAAAAATGGAGTCTCTTATTCTGAAGACTTTAGGATTTGAAGTTTGTGCGCCAACAATACTAAATTTCCTTGAAAGATTTTTGAAGGCTGCAGAATGTCCTGAAGCAGATAAATCCAAAGTTGAATCATTAGCAAAGGTATGTTTAGATTGTCTGTGCTTGATACTATCTGTATTGTACCAATGAGGAAGGAACTGTTTTCATTGATTTTAAAGACTTGATATCCAGAGTAATAATGGCAACATCATTTTAGGGAATTGTTTTGTTATCTGTGAGTAAGTTGGTTGATAATATAATGTGATCACCTGAGTGCAAGAATTCCTAAGAATAGACAATAACTCTGAGTCCAGAGTTATTGTCTGTCTTACCCCTGGCTGTTCAAGGAGTGGTGACTCTATCCAGACTGAATTGAAAGTTTTTAATCATTGGTACTGCCCTTGACAGGTTTTGCTCCTATCTTTACAACTGTACATATTTTACTTTTTTTATTGCAGTATCTCTGTGAACTTTCATTGCTTAATGGAGAACCTTTCCTACAGTATCGGCCATCTACAGTTGCTGCCAGTGCTGTTGTACTGTCTCTACATACCATCGGATTAACATCATGGGTAAAACTTCTGTTTGCTTGTTCATAATGTGTAATGTTCAAAACTGCTTACCTTCAAAGTGCAGGGAGAATCTCTTAAAAAAACACAAACTTTACATGCCCATAAAAATGCCTCTAGAACATGTTATCTAATTGACAGAATATCTCTATTTAGAGACATTTTTCAGTCCCTGAGGGTATTCCCCTAAATTAGGATACAAAGCCAATTTCCTTGGTTTAAGTGTTTGTTATAAAACAAGATACATGAACATTGTGTAGTGACCATGCTTGCATAAGTCCTCAACCCAAGACCAAACCTATCAATTGGTGACCTAGAGTGAAAACCAAACAGCAAAGGTTAAAATTTAACCCTTTAAGTCCCATTAGTGACCTAGACAGAATTTCTCCTTACACATCAGTACGATATCAAGCAGACAAGTAATGAGAATACAGAAAAATATCAATTAGGGGATTATTGGTCAATCCAATCCAAATTTTTCAAACTAACATCTTTTTTTTTAACCTTTTCTCTTTGGTGTCTCCAGAATCCAACTCTGGCTCACTACACTGGGTTCCAACTCCTTGATCTTCAAGCATGTGTCCATGATCTTCATCGTGCATTCAGTCATGCACCAAAACAACAACAGCAATCTATAAGAGAAAAATACAAGAGCTCCAGGTAAGACACAAGAAATATTTTGTTAAGTTCCTCTGAGTTCCTTTACAAACACTTACTAAAACATTTAGGGGCAAATAAAATAAAATACAATAAAAACTAAGCTTAAATGATGAACCCATCAGGGTTTGAAAAAGCTCTTGATATATTATGGAAACTTGCAAACAAAGTTTCAAAATCTGAAATTTAATTCTGGCTTAAGAAATGTATGCTGTACTCACTCAGGCCTGGTAACAACTTAGAAGAAAAATAATTCACTTTGGCTCTCAGTGAGTTCTTGATAAGCTATCCATCATGGAGTCTTAGAAACTGATAACCATGTACTCTCCATCCCTTAGTCCCTTGTAAAACTCTTTCTCCAACTTTGTTTCCTTCATTTCAGCTGTCATGGAGTGGCAAATCTTCCAGCTCCAGAGATGCTTCCCCTAGCATAAATTCCCCCAATAATGATAAAGAATGACTGTGTAAATATTTACTGCTTTCTGAAAGAGAGGCTTTTATTAGGAAACAATTATCTTTACATATTCTCCAAGCTGTTTGAATATTTGTGTAAAAGACGTTTTCACAAACAAAAAAATCTGTTATCTTATGGAATGTATCCAGAGTTATTTTTTTAACTTCTTATTATCACAAAGCTATATACAGATGTATTTACCTTTAATTTACCTCTTAAATCTTTTTGACTTAACATTTTTACATTATAAGCAGCATTGAATGTATTAATTAAGCTGGCTTTACTTTTTTTTAGTTCTAGAAATTCTCTAACATAATAAATGAAAACCTATAATCATTATATTGAAATAATATTCTTTTAGGCATGTCAAGATACCTGTAGTTAGAAATGTGATTGTTTTAGTATTAACAGGCATTTACTACTTTTATAAACTAACCCCAATTGTAAAATATGTAAAATAAATAACTGATCAAAACTTGTGTTGAGTGTGTTTTTCTGGACAGATTGTTTCAAACCAAGGGCAAAGGTAAAACATTTTAAAAACCTGTTTGGTTTGCTCCGAGTTAAAAAGTTTCACCCCGATTCAGATTCCTCTTTAGTTGATTGAAATCATGATTAAGTGAAAAAAGGAAAGGATGGAACACAAAAAAGCAGTTCTGTTTCAAGAATTCTAAGCTTAATATTTGACACACTGACTCTGAATGGTGGTCATACTTCAAATGCAGACCACTACAACTGTTTCACTCAGATGAAGGGCTAATGCTCAGAACATCAGTTCCCAAACTCATAACGACGGCCAATTTACATTATAAACTTGTTACTGAAACCAAGTTATCTTATTATAACTTGGTCTGCTATTCAACCCATAACTGAAGTGTCCAGGTTTTTTTTTTTGAAAGATTTTAATTTGTCTTTTTTTGCATAAATTTAAACTTATGATGATTGATCATTGATCAAGAATTGCTTGTGATCTCTGATTGTCAAGGGAAATGTCAGCCAAATCCCTGTGCAGCCATGTCAATGGCATATTTCTCTTAAAAACTACACACAAAAGCCCAAGAGAACCTTTCAGTGTTCATTTTACTACCCTCTCTCTCAAGATAGATTCCAACAACTTCACTCACTTTACCTCTAAGGTGTAGATCATTTTTCTCTTTTGCTAATGAGAATTTGTTTTCATCAAGATGATACTCTCTTAATTATTAGATTCTCATCATCTATTTGCTAAGAATGAAGTACTAATAGTGTAAGGGAAAGGTACACCTGGGTACCTCAAAGATTGAGGAATGCTGCCTCCCTTTCCTTTACTTTCCATGCCCCTTCCCCACCCTTTAGTGGGTCAGAGTCTCAGCAGAGTCTCTTGAGGTTATGCCTGTGTGAATGTTATGGCATCATTTCTGAGCTTCTTTGTTGTCCTGGCTGTCAGGGATGACCTAGTGGTTCACATTTCAGTGCATTTCTTAACATGCATACCATGTCCTTTTACAGGCTTGAGGAAATAATAATTTAAATGTCTATTTTGGAAGCACTCTAAGCTATAACCTTTTTGGTTGCATAGCAAGCAGAAAACAATTTGGTGACTAAATCCCTAGCTAAATTATGTTCAATAATTAATGTGATATTAGATTGATTCAGATATTTGCACAAGGTTGGTTGTTTTGTTATAAAAAAAAATGTGACACCTTAAAAGAGCATGGCCTGATTTTAGCTATGTAAGTCTCAGTTGTGTGTTCATTTGGGGTAAGTATCAGAAGTAGCTGAACATCCCTTGATAAGTGACACATAAAAACATTTTTTGGCAGTCATAATTGTGGAACAACAATTTACAGCTTCCTTTAGGTTTCTTTTGGGGTTTTTCTGTTTGATTTTTCACATTTACCATGATAATTGTAAAATAGAAGCTTGGTATTTTTATGTTTTTCCAAGAAAAAATGGGTTTGAATGATTTTGTGGAATTTTGAAACTAACCTTGGAATCATAGGTTGTGGAAAATGTCAGAAAGACTGCACAAAGTGATGGAATTTTATAAGTTTGAACAACAACATGCCTTAACAGTGTTAGAACCATGTGCTAATTGGCATTTGTGGCCAGGATATAGACTTAGGGGGGAAGGAGAGGGAAGAGTGAATGTAACTAGGTGCAGTTGTTGGGCTTAGCAGACGGTCACTGTGTTCCCCCTTGGAAAATGCTGATGAAAAGGTAGGAGGTTCACTGCAATCTATGAGCATTCCATCCAGGGGGGGAAGAACTACACCATGTGTATCATTCTATGAAAAGGGTAAGCTCTAGGAGTGAGGTCGACCACTAAGCTGGGGAGCTGACTGTGCCCTCTTTTCCACCAGGGTATCCATTATCTCTGCCATGTACTTGCCAGCCAGCATACTTGCTCAGGTAAAACTCAGGCCTCCCTCCATCTTTCACTTGTCAGCCAATTTGTCACCCCTGTGGGGACACAAAAATAAAACAGTTTTGAAAATTGTATCCTAGGGTAACATAAACTTGTACCAATGTGATGAAGGAAAAGGAGCAAAACTCCTTAGAATGACTGATTGCATCACTGATTTTAGAAGGGAGAGTGGTAACTCTAAAGGAAAGTTTCAGTTGAAACCTTTAGAAATCTTCCATGGAATGATCACAATCAGAGAAACTGACAATGTCACAATTAAGTCTCATACTCCTGTGCTGTCACAATTTGGCACCTTACCAATGGTCATTTTTGGACCGGTGGAACATCAAGTCTCCACAGCAGCTGTTCTTCAGCTTCTGGTAGTGTTGCACAACAGTCATTTCAAAGGCTTGCTGTGAAGGAGACTCACTGAAGCATGATAAAGAAGACTGACAATAACCCTGCATGCTCTGCTTGTCCTCATCTTTCTTTAGTTAACCCAGAAGTGATTGACATGTAACCTCTCCCTATAATTTCCATAAATTTTCCAGCAAAGCAGGTGATGAGAATATTCAAACCTATCAGGTAAAAGCCGTCATTCTGAGTGAACACCAAACTCTTGCAACTAATTTACAGGGAAATATGTAGCAGCCATAGGAGAGAATTAAAAACTAGATCTTGGGAGTTAAAGGGTTAAGGAGCTTTCTGCCACTACTATCCCCAGGCCACCCCTTGAAACAAGGCCATTAATTAACCCTTTAACTCCCATGAGTGACCAAAACAGAATTTCTCCTTACAATATCAATACAATATCAAACAGATAAGTGATGAGAATAGAGAAAAATATCAATTTGGTGATAAATAGTTGATCCAATACTAAATTCTCTTAACTAATATTACATGAATTGCATGGTTGACAGTAAGGAGAATTTCAAATTTTATCCAGGAGTTAAAGGGTTAATTTAAAAAAGTTTTACGATTAAAACTGTGGGATTTTAAAATTGTTCTCAGTGCAGCTTGACAGACACTTAATTCATGATGCTTAGATTACTAATTGTTTCGGATTGTGGACATTTTCGTGATTTTCATGAATTTTTGGTTGAACTGGTCAAGAGGCGATTTTTTAGCACACCCAGAAGGTTAATTAAAAAGGGACAGCCTTTGGTCTTTTCTGGTTTTAAGTTTGCAATTTGCCCTGCAAAGCAAATTCAAGGGCAATTAACTGTTTGCATTTCCTCATAGGCTTCCAGGTGATTGGAAAGCTCCACAACTTCTTGTTGGTATGTGCCGAGCGAAACTTAGAAGGAGTGCCAAACCCAAAATCCCTTCATTGTCTCCCCCGGTCAAAAGCTTTTGGCTTTGTGTTTGAATCTTGGAGAATGTTGATAAACAAAAAGCAAAAATTCTGCCTTGGAAGTCTCGAGAGTCATTCCCCAAGGCAAATTATGCTTGTTTTATTAGCCAAGAGTATGGGGAAGGGGTCACTTCCTTGTAATAGGCTGATGGGGATGTGCTGCAGGATGGGGTCACATTTTCATTACTTGACTGACCATAACTGGTTTGCATTTTCGATAGTTACTAGAATGAGGTCGTACATTTCCGAGATTATTGAGGTACGAAAACTCTGGTAATAAGATATTTAAAATGGGAGGATCCATGGTTAAAAAGTTGTAAGTTACTGTATTACAAAAAATGACCAAGATGGGTCTATTATTGGCCGTATAATAAACAATATTGGGGTAGGGTTTCTGAGAAGCGAACAGCACATATCCAGGAGAAATTGATTTAGGATAATTTTGAAGACTTGCGAGCTATATATGTTATTTACTGGCTGGGAGGTTCCTATGATAAAAAAACTGTAACCAAGGTATTCAGAATACTGTCTGGAGGCCGAGAAAAGCATTTTTAATTCTTTGTACCGTTGAGTGAAATTACATCATTTTACTCAATTTCCCTACAAATTAAACACGCTAAAATGATGCCTTAAAAAAAAGGACCAAAATAAAAAGCTATTAATAATAAGTCCAGCGTGCAGCACTTTTGTAAATCAAGTGCTTAAATTGTCATTTGGATTCCAAAAAGCAAAAGGACTGAGAGAAGACAGAAAGCTTCAATGTTGATGCCGCCAGATTCAGGAGCTTTGGTGGTGCTCGCTTTTGTGGTGTTAGCTGCCGTCAGAGCAATGCTTGTTGATGCTGGGCCAGATTGAGTGTGGCAATGTAGTGGTATCAAGTCTGGAACGAGGTACTTGTTACAATACTCGGTTGAACAGCACTTGGCTTCACAACGCTTGAAAGGACTTACAGCACCAGTCATATTTTCAGTTATGTTGCAAGCAGTGGTATACCCGCAGATGTCTTGGTCATGCCTCTTGATATAGCACTATTTTAAGCTTATAATGGAACCGTTGTTCAACTCGGCTGTCACTGCAAAACATTCACTAAAAAACGAAAAATAGAAGCAAATGTCATATTCAGAACGCCATGCAATCTTCCTTGCAAGTAGTAGCCTCCACCAGGAAATTTGCAAAAAAACGTTCCTTAGTATTACACCCATTGCGTCGCAATTTTTTGAGTTGCAGGGTGCGCTGCAACAGTTTTTAGGTTTATCATAGCCATTAAAAATTCCTCAAATCTTGTTAGTGCATTTGCAGCTTCATTTTTCACTTAACATTCTGTACAGTTGTAGTCGGACAGTTGGTTGTAATCAGACAGTTGAAGCAGCCAATCATACTAAGTCCACTCAGCCAACCCACCAATTACAGATATAATCAAAATAACCATAGCAACAACCACTTATCCAAAGAAAAACTGGGGAATTCCCAAATGGCGGAATTTTTTTAACCAGACATTGTCTCCACTGGATATATTTGTTCTAGGTGTATTTGTTTTTCAAGAAATTGACATGGTTCTCACAAGGGCGCAGCCAGATTTTCAAACAAGTTGGTGTTGCTGTTATAAAATAGTATGAAAAAGCAGGCGCAACGATATTCTTGAGTTTTAGTTAAATTTCATAATTTCCACAGTTATCAGCTCGTACACAAATCTTTCGAATCGTTTCCCTATCAACGCACAACCAATGCACAAGTAATGCATAGCCGCTTCATCACTCAAGTGTCTAACGAGTTTGACACAATTTTCACGCATTTTTTCGCAACAATTTTTACAGCTCACCTTCGAACTGAGTGCTGACCCAAAAACTTGAACAGAATTACGTAAACTGAAAATTATTGGGAGAACTACATTGTTGTAAGTTTCTACGGACTAAGATGCTCACGAGGCAAACCCCCTTGACTGAGTTTAGTTCACAGTTTCATATTTTTCCATATCGATAATAATAATAATAATAATAAAGAAATTGTTTTGGTCACATTTTGTACGTTTTGAGTATCTGACCACCTGAAAACCACCAGACAAATCCTGAGGGCTTTTCCAATGCTAATAGAACTTTTTCTTGAAGATGATAAAGTCATTTCGCCAGAAGAAAAAAAAACAAAGATAAACGGCTCCTTTGGAAGCCAACAATGAATCTAAGACAGTGACTAACGTTCGTATACGTTCAGTATCCGCATTCGCGTTTGGGCCTAGAGTTTCATGGCTACCAATGAGATAAAAAACGAAATGAATGATTTTAATTAGCATGGGCTACTATTTCGTATTTCAGTTTTTGAACTTTGATAGGCTTTGCTGCGTTTATAAGCTTGACAGGTGGCTACGATTTCTTCTAAAGGGATGACGTTGTTGGGCGTTGAGGGGGAGCTGTCTTGGTTTGTTCAAGACTCAACTATTGGCCGTTTTCTTTCCTTAGTTTTCTGACTCTTGAACGTTTGGCGATGAACACCATTAAAATTGCATCAAACCTATGATCAAACTTAACGAAGAAATTATAATATTATCGATTAGGGGAATTTTAAGATTGAATTGCATTGCTACACTTGAATGAACATTTTACCGGATCATTCCCTCCGGGGACGTTACTTATCTATGAATTTGACTTCAACTGTTTAATGAGTAAATGGTAATGTATTTCCATTTGTGGTGATCAACTGATGGGATACTCAAAATTAGCTTCCGGTGATTAAATATCAAGTCTTATAAGATAACTATCGTTGAACGGGATACAAACATTTTTGTTTTAAGAATTCAAAACTTATCAAGAGAACATAAGGAAACAGAGAAGGAGGCCTCCGGTCTAGGCCGTGGGATATGTTATTTACGGATAGTCGTAGCCGGACCATCCAATGCGTGTGTTGACATGTAAAACCCAACTATTAAGAATTAGGCTTACAAATCAAAGACGATTACATTAAAAAAGCACACGATAATATTATGTTTAGGCTAACTAAACATTACAAGTCCATTTTAAGTTGTACAAACCTTTATCAAATAAAACCCGTCTTACCAAAACACCTGTATATGCTGCAAGGCGAGAGTCACGTTTCGCCAAAACAGCGCTCCGCACCTGGTGCAAATAGCCTTTAGTGTCATTGGTCCGTTTTTAATAGAAAAAAAGAAAGTTGACACACTTCAGTAAGGAACGATTGCGTATTAGGACGTCCATTACATTCTATACCTCCTGCAAAAAAGTTCGAAATACGTTGAAATATCTGCTGCACATTCGATGTTATCAAGTCACGAGCCCGTATAAGCGTACCGATAGCTGCTGACAGAAACTTCAGATGAATGGTGTGTCAAAGGAAGACAGTTAGGTATGATATTCACAGCCCTTTTTATACGTTGTACGCTGCGTAAGAACAAGTTCTACCACATCTGGAGGCTATGCTTTAGGAATTGAAGCGAAAAGTAAATGTCGAGATAGAGATATCTCGGTGTTTGAACATCCTGCGCCCCTTAGCCAAAAAAAAAGCCCCGTTCAAACACTCATGATAGTTGATGATAGTTCCAACTATCACGCGCGTTTGAGCACGAACTATCATGCACTTTCGTCGACTATCATGCATCAGCTATCATGTTTTTTGGACGTGTTCAAATTAGACACGATTGTTGACGATAGTTTCTATCTTGCTGATTTGCAATTTTTTCGATTTTTTCTTTCTGTCTTTGTTGGATTCAGGATAAACAACTATAACAACTCATTTCGGCGTAAATATATGTAAATTTATATCCGTCAGACCAAATCTGCTCAGGAGGCTAACATTTTTAAGCCTAGGATCAATGATTAACTCATGTTTAGACTTCTAAATAATTATAACAAATATCGGCATTACTCCTAAAGGTGAACAACTTTGAAGAAATTTCAGAGAAATGTGCTAAGAGACAGTGATATTTGCATCGCTCCAAGCATGTGACAATGGTGCACATCTTGATACTGTATGGCATATCTCACGGAAGTTTCATCAGATGGAGTACATCTGTGAAGTTTAATTAAGCTCTAGTTTTGAGGCTCGAGGGAAGCAAAATTTCACGGAAAGATATTAAGAGCACATTTTCGCTCGAGGAAGAAGCTATTCCGTTTACAATTCTTCAACTTGTACTATTTTGTAGCTCTGAACTTCTAACACCGCACTTCATTTCCGTCGAAAACGTTTTCCGTGTGTTTGCGGGCAGTTTTTGACTTTACTTTAAGAAAGGTTTGCCCCTTTTTCTGAAATGGCGTATCACCGCCATTCAGCATCTAAATTTGTTGGCTCGAGATCATCAAAATGTAGAGCAAAATTGATCAGATCGAAAATACATCGGGGCGGTGGAAATAGTTCGGTTGCCATGGTTGCACTAAGTTTGCACGGAGACTGGAATCACGTCGGGAAATTCCACGTGTTTCATCAGGCATTTTTTCACGCATTCATCAACCTACAATGAGGAAAACATTCTCGCAGTTGGAATACTTCAATGTCAAATCACTTTAGTCACAAAAACGTCTGAGGTTTTAGTATTGAGCTTACGTAGAGCTACGAAAATTGACGATTATCGCGGAAATTAGAAGTTGACGACGATAATCAAACAATATCTTAAATGAGACGTTTTATAACTCAGCTATCGTTCAATTCACAATCCTGAATTCTCGTTTTCTCTGAACGATGTACCGTTTAAAGTTAACGATGTACCTCATGAGCTAAGCAATGTAACGTTTTCGCTCCACGATGAACCGCTACCGATTAAGCTCATTACTCTAACGAAATGTCGAAAAAACTAACCTAATCATATTGAAATAAATCGTTCATTTCCAGAAGCCTTCAATCCCTTCACAACCACCCTAACTGATCTATTTATCTTTTCAGTAAAACTCAATCCAAGCCAGATGTTTGCTAGAGTCTTTCTTTTCTGCTCGTTATCTTTGATTCCTCTGCGCATGGCCACTAGTCAGCAATGTGAACCCGCTGAGCAGTCAGAGAGTGGAAAAGCTCTCAAAGGTCACGTCTTTAAATCGAAAAGGGTTCAAAATCCGTACGAATGTCTTATGTTCTGCTACAGCGAATTCACATGTCAGAGCTACAATTACGTCATGACTGGTAATCTTTGCGAGCTGAATAACAGAACCAAAGAAGCGAGACCTGAAGATTTTGTCCGAGATGAAACTAGATTCTACGTGCGACGGTGGAAGAACAGAGGTACGGATACAATGAAACAAAATATTTATTATCAAGTAAAAGTTAGAACCAAATGGAAGCTTATCTAAATCTGTGATATAATTATAAATGTCAACTTCCTTTCAGTTCCTGGACAATGATAGCCAATTTGTCTTGTTAAGTTAAAATTCCTCAACAAAATATCTTTTTAGCCATTCGTATGGCGGTAACCTATTTCTCAACCACTTTTGGAATAGAGAGGTTGTATTGGAGGAGTGAGAGCCACATACAAACAGACCGGGGGGGAAATCGTTTGAAGTAATCAAAACAGCCAAGCAGAAGATAGGAAGCTACCTTTAAGAGCCAATGAGAACAGACTCAAAGTCAGAAAAAAACCAAACTCTCAAAAGAGCGAGAAAACGCGAGCGATCAAGTCGTGGCCATTATTGGTTTCAGTTTCGCTTCTGATCGATCGAGAGAGTGGGCGAATTTTCTTAACCATTCACAGAGCGAAGTAAAACAAACCGATGCAAACTCGGATTACTTTCGGCAAAGAATTGAAAATTTCTGCATCACAGCATCACTGCTTAAATAAAAATTTTATTGATTCTGTCAGTTTTTTCGTTAGACCGAGGTAAAAATCACTCGTGTAGTTTATCCGATCAAAACCTCGCAATAATGAAAGTTTTTTGGGGGGGGAGGGGGGAACGAGGTTCACGTAGGTGTCTCCTCTGTTCAAACGGAAAGGCAGGTGGTGCAGGGCAGGGATACGAACTTAACGACGTTGGCCAACGCTATTTTTTTAAAGATGGTAGCTTCAGAGCATTCACGTTTTCCGCTACTAACTGGAATTCTTTTAAAATAAAAATTTAACATATCAGTTGTAAGCATAGAGTACTCAAGGTATTGTTAGATTCATAACTATATTATGCGAATCGATATGACCAGAATTGACCCTTCTTTATTGAAAATAAAATTTGGTTGGTGAATAGAACGTTAGAGTATCAAGAAGGTTATTGTCATCGAACGAGAAACATTTTACTGTTCCTTTTCCAAAGTCTCATTAGGTTCCGTTCCCGAGATGCCTGCCGAGTCTTGTGGAGAGGTCAAAGCCAGCGAACAAGGGATGGCGGTCAGCGGTAGATATTGGCTGAAACCCCAGGAGACAAACATGAAATCCAAGAACTTTCTGGTATCTAAATCATTAATCTTCACTTATAGATAATTGAAAAAAATAGAGTTGTATCGTAAAAAGTAAGAATGTTTGGAATTCATAATTTCTTTCTCATGGACAATTCACGAAAAAATAAATTTGGATTATTAAATGGAAGTTTGCATGGAATTCTTAATTCGTTTCCAGGTTTATTGTGACATGGTATCAGTGGATCAGGCCTGGACTCTCCTCGCTCGGTTTTCAAACAGAGACACTAAAAACTGGATAGATGACTTAGGAGACTGGTGGTACGACAGTGCTCAAGCTGCAGGAGAAACCGCTGACCCGTCATACAACGCAGACATGATCTCGCCAGCGTTCTGGCTGGTCAGTGGCAGTGAGCTTAAGATCACACGCAATGATGACTCTGGACACATTCCTTTATTGCAAACAACAGGGAATTGTCTGAGCGGGCAGACATTCCGCTCCAAAGTTACCAGCTACGGTGACTTCAGAAACGGTTCAGTCTGGTCCGATGGTAAGTGCCTCGGAAAATGCAATGTTCAATATGGCGGACAATACCTAACAACTAAGGGTTTCGGACAGGCTTCATGCAGCGGTGACCTACAAGGTGCTGATGAAGTCGGCTTCTGGTGTAGCAGTGGTTGGGGTTGTTCTGTGATCATGATTGGAGGGGGCGGAGCTAGTTGTTCAGATGCCGATCATGGAATTGGGACAACGGTGGCGAAACTTTCCTCTTTTAAAATAAAAGAAGATGGCAGAAAAGAAGCTGACTTTGGTGACAGTGCATGGGGTTATAAAGCTCTTAGTTACTCGTTGAATTTGTGGGTTCACTAATGTCTCCAATGTTACATGATTTGCCTTGCATCTTAGACATGTTTTCACTTGATAGTCGAAAAATTAAAACCAAAATAGTCCCAGCGACCCACCGAAACAAAGTTTTATATTATCATTAGCCTATGGAGATAAAATTGTATGGTTTCCACATCATACCTCTTCTTTAAGACTGTATTAATGATGGTAACCTGCATTGAATAAAACACAGGAGAAAAGAAAACTTTCTGAAACTGTCTTTAATCAGTGTACATCACGGTAAAAGAGTAGAGACCGTAGAAGATGGAGTGAGAAGCGCAGCGAACGTAGGGAGAGGAGATAGTAGATTCTGCGTTACCCGTTTGTGGGTACTTGGGGTATTTTTGTGAAACGTATGGCGAGGTGATGATAGATTCTTCGCTACCCGTTGGCGGGTGCTTGGGGTATTTTTGTAAAACGTATGGCGAAGAGATGATAGATTCTACGCTACCCGTCGGTGGATGCTTGGGAAATGAAAATGAAATGTAAGTGGATAAATTAAACGTTGCAACGCGTTTGATAGGCTTTAACTGGTAAATCGACACAATAAAAATTGCATACGAGTACATTAAGTGAGTCATCAGTGAAGTCCAATGGTGGTTACTCTGTTTACACAGATAATTGCATATTTGTTTGCCTTTTCTAAAGGAAAGAGGCAGTGAACTTTTTCTGTAAGAGTCAGCTCAGTTGGGTTAACCGTTAGCCGCAAAACGGCCAAACTTAGCAGTTAGGCGTAAAAAATGACAAACTTTAACCGTTAGCCGTAAAAAGAGTTAACAGTCAAAAAATTTCTGATGACTACAGTGGAAAGATATAAACCGTTAGCCGTAAATTGGCTAACGTTGTAACCGTTAGCCGTAAATGCCATCACCCCATTGAGACCCTCATTTAAGGGTAGTCCGGTTGTATAACGATCTCCCCTAATGTTGGCCTGATGAAAAACCTATACTTGCGTCATAAAATGTCAAAATGTTATTGATTGCACTCCATAGTGTGACTTAACGGCTGAGATTCTTGTCGACGAGGAGAGCGAGGCATGCGCAGGCTACACCTGAAAGACAGTCAAAGAAGATAGCCCGAAACAGAGTGAAACACGGAAAGTTTTGCATGCATCTTTGCTCCGCTGGCTGTTAAGGGAATAAAACTTAATTCCATGAGCACTTAACGTCGCAATCAGTTAAGACGTTGCGTTATAATGAATTCGCGAGCATTTATTTTTCGCCTCCATGCACTTTAGGTAAACCCGTTTTGAATAATTTTGTTAATAATTTGTTATAATTAAGTCTTCCATTTGCAATTCGAGTAAATCTTTTTAATCCTTTGCCGACTTCAACCCATTTAGGGTAAAATTTTTTCTGTTTCAATCATTCTATCTCACTAAACTAATATTTGTTTTGAGAATTCTCTTTCTTCAAAAGCAATTTTTTACATATATTCTAGACTAAAGAATGTTGACGTAGCATCTTCAAAAATGCTCAGCTTTTGGGACAAAAAAAAATTTCCAAACAAATAATTACAATTCAACTGCAAATGCATTTTGAACGTCCATAGCGCATCGCTTCCGAATATCTTGGAATGGGTACCCAATGAGCATCTGATGGCAATGTAGATGCAATCAGCTGTTGCAATGATCTTTCTCTTTGGGTATGTTTTTCAAGTATGTCCAACACTACGGATCGATACAAGTCGTCTAATGTATTCACGTACGACGTGTATTCAGTCGTACGACCCGTGCCCCTCACTAGGGAGACCAACAGTTTTTAACCTCACACCACTGAAGTGCACAAACAACAACAGTAATCTTTGTTGTACTGAAAAGCAACGCGCGAAGTGCACAAAAAACAACAGTATTCCTCGTTCTAAAAGCACCGCGTGAAGTGCACAAACAACAAGAGTATTCCTCGTTCTAAAAGCACTGCGTAACGTGCACAAACAACAAGAGTATTCCTTGTTCTAAAAGTACTGCGTGAAGTGGACAAACAACAAGAGTATTCCTTGTTCTAAAAGTATTGCGTAACGTGCACAAACAACAAGAGTATTCCTTGTTCTAAAAGCACCGCGTAAAGTGCACAAACAACAAGAGTATTCCGCGTTCTAAAAGAACCGCGTGAAGTGCACAAAAAACAAAGTATTCTTCGTTCTAAAAGCACCGCGCGAAGTGCACAAATAACAAAGTATTCCTCGTTCGTTCTGGTTTCAAGTTTGCAATTTGCCCCGCAAAGCAAATTCAAGGGCAATTAACTGTTTGCATTTCCTCATAGGTTTCCATGTGATTGGAAAGCTCCACAACTTCTTGTTGGTATGTGCTGAACGAAACTTGGAAGGAGTGCCAAACCCCAAAAATCCCTCCCCCCTAGTCAAAAGGTTTTGGCTTTGGTGTTGGAATCTTGGTAAATGTTGATAAGAAAATAGCAAAAATTCCTTGAAATAGGCTAATGCAGGATGTGGTCACGTTTTCATTACTTGATTGAATATAAGGGGATTGCATTTTCAATAGTTACCAAAATGGGGTCGTACATTTCCGAGATTATTGGGGTAAGGAAATTCTGGTAATAGGATATTTAAAAATGGAAGGATCCATGGTTAAAATGTTGTTACCTTATTACAAAAAAGTGACTAAGATGGGGTCTATTATTGGCCAGAGAATAAACTCTAATGGAGAAGGGGTTCCGAGAGGCTAGCAGCACATGTCCAGAAGAAATTGATTATAGGACCTCCCCCAGCCAAGAGTAAAGCCATTGAAAATATTAGTAATGACCTCCCGTCTTTCTAAACGATTTACCAGTTGAAGATGTTATTTAGTGGCTGGGAGGTTCCTATGATTAAAAACTGTAACCAAGGTATTCAGAATACTGTCTAGAGGCCGAGAGAAGCATTTTAATTCTTTGCATCGTTGAGTGAATTGTAACTCCAAGTGGTGCATCATTTTACTCAATTTCGCTACAAATTACATAGGCTAAAATGACGCCTTAGAAAAAAAAGTAACCAAAAAAAGCTAGTGATAATAAGTCCAGAGTGCAGCACTTTTGCAAATCAAGTGCTTAAATTGCCATTTGGATTCCAAAAAGCAAAAGGACGGAGAGAAAACAGAAAGCTTCAATGTTGGTGCCGCCGGATGCAGGAACTTCGGTGGTGCTCGCTTTGGTGATGCTGTTAGCTGCCGTCGGAGCAATGCTTGTTGATGCCGGGCCAGATTGAGTGGGGGAATGTACTGGTATCATGTCTGGAACGAGGTACTTGTTGCAATAACTGGTTGAACAACACTTGGCTTCACAACGCTTGAAAGGACTTACACCAGTCATATTTTCAGCTCTGTTGCAAGCAGTGGTATTCACGCAGATGTCTTGGACATTCCTCTTGATATAGCACTCTTTTAAGCTTATAATGGAGCCGTTGTTCAACTCGGCTGTCACTGCAAAGCATTCACTAAAAAAACGAAAAATAGGAGCAAATTTCATATTTAGAACACCATGCAGTCTTTTTTGCAAGTAGTTGCCTCCACCAGGAAATTTGCATAAAAAACCTTCTCTAGTATTACACCCAACATCCTCTAGCCCCCCTCTGGCCCTGAAATTTGCGTCGCAATTTTTTGTGTTGCAGGATGCGCTACAAAAGTTTTAAGGTTAATTAGTTATCGAGGAAATTAACACGGCTTCTCAAAAGGGCGTAACGAGATTTTCAAACAGGTTGTCGGAAATATTGCTCGGTGTTGCTGATATAAAACCGTATGAGAAAGCAGGCGCAGCGAGATTCTTGAGTTTTCTTTAAATTTCACACTTTTTTTTGTTAGTTTTTTTGTTCCCACATATGCAAAACGGCCTTGAGTCGTTCATGGTTCCTCAAACTTTACCTCAAATTAGAAGGAACCTCTCATGTAGACACTGCTATATTGGGAATGGGGTACACAAAACACCAACGAGCCACAAAATAGACTACGAAGCACGTATGATAGTCAAGTTGAGATAACTTGACCTTATCTGAGTAGATAACGTACTCTTGGCGTAGACTGCTAAGAAAAGATTACCTGCAGAAAGACATTTATCGGTCTTGTCACGAGCGTGGGACAAAGGAAAAATTCTGGGTCCCCATGAGGAATCGGTACTGAGACCCTCCGACACAATTCCCTCGAGCCATTAAGACTACGTAGGTGAGTTAGGTCAATACGAGGTTTCAAATGCAACACACGTCCTGTATATTGGAGCTCGAAATCCGAAGGTTTGAGGTTCGAATATTCAAAGGGAATTGGTCTGCTTTTCCCACGCTCGTGACATGAAAATAAATTTTTCTCTATCTCATCTCCGAGCTCGAAATAAACCTTTTTTTTCAGTCTTTTTACGCAAAAGATTACCTATCACTGCCAACACAAGACTTGCTTGTAACTGACATGTTGCACTGGGATGGTGACTGGAGTGGATTTTTTACACAGAAGTTACAGTAGAAACTACCAGCAGACACTGAAAAATAGCAGCAAATTAGTATAACTCGTGAGTTTGATGACACATGATATTAGCAATACAAATAATGATTGTAATAATAATAATAATAATAATAATAATAATAATAACAATGATGATGATAATGATGCTTATTATCATAAAGATAGTAATAATGATTTTAATGATAGGAAAACCTAACGATTGTAATAATGATAATACTGATAATGATTACAATGATTCTACAAATGATATTGATATTTAAGTTGAGGTGTTTTGAAGATGCTACGGAAATGGTTACCCTGCGATGTTGATGGGCTGGTATATGGTGAATTTACCCCATTGCAAGTTCGCCTCCCAACGTAAAATAAGTTCGCTTTGATTTGAGCGGACTGGTAAAGGTAGGGGCGAACTCGTTTTACGTTAGGAATAGAACTCTTGAAGTGATTGGGGACGAATTAGCAATGGGGCAAATTCACCAATAACCATCGGCTAGGTAACTTTCCGGTCCAAACTACACTTGCATCTAATAGACTGCGTTGGTTTCTGTTTAAAATACTTAAGTTTCTTTAGGAGCCCATTACTTAGTAGTGGGCTCCTGGTTTCTTGACAAGAAATTCGATACTGTAAACGATATTCATTTGAAGTCGACGGGCGTTTAGAAGAAAAAATACTGGCCAGTTATGTAGTCCTACGACTTTCCAGTTCACCTTGAAGCTTCGAGTAATCGGGAGTCAACAGTGATTATCAGCTCTAAGAGATTTGATAAGCATTTCCTTCATTTCGAAAATACTGACTTCGAAAGATATCTGACCAGTAAAAAAACAAAAACAAATCTAGTTATGAAATTTTCAACTCCGAATATTACATTTCCGGTGTTCTCATTGGTTCACTCAACTTCGGTTATCAGCTCATATTCCGAGT